TTCCCAACATGTCTCCTAGCAAGATAAGGTACACTTTCCCATGCTTCATGTTTTAATCACCTTATCTTGCCCAACATGTGTTGAATACTTGCGTTCTTGAATGCCCATTTTCTTCTTGGCATGGGATTGCATTGATTCTCTTTAATGAGCTAGCCATGTATTTATTTTGTTTTCAAAAACCGACCACCAAGTGTTCGTAGAAAGCCCCCAACTACATAGGTTTCATTATTTTTTATCCTACGAGTTAAGAATCAACTTCATTGCATGGGGTAACTTGAATTAGTTGATTTTGCATTGATTGGGAGATCCTAGTGTTCATTATCTTGGAACTATCTCTTCATCTAATTTCCCTCTATTACCAAAGTCTTAGTCTCACTTAAGTGTGGGGGTAAACTTAGAGGCTTTATGATAGTTCATTGCAAAACTACCCTTATGATATGTGTTGTTTGGATTGATGGTTTGCGCATTGTGTACTACTTGTTTTGAAGGATAAAATACAAGAATAAGGAAATGGCTCATGGTGTCGTACCTCTTACCCTCGGCAAGGGCACCATACGAAGACAAGGAAATCCAAGTCAAAAGAAGTAGTTGTTGAAGAACCTCATCCACCATTACCTATTCCATTTCTATCAAATGAACTTCATCAAGATAGTCAAGTCAATGTAGATGGCGGCATAGAGCATGTCACTCATTACTTCTTGGAACATGTTCCCGAGGAATTCAAGACCAAACTTATGTGGCTTCAAGGATTACCCTTAGACGAGAGTACATGTCTCAACTGGATACTCCTTGTGCAACTTGGGATTGAAGATGCAATCCGATCTAAAGTACAGAGGTTGGAATGGCTTAAGTTGCTCTCTATCCAATAAAATATTTATTGGGTGCTTGTTCTGGAGTTTATCAGTACTCTTACCATTCAAGATATGAGGGGTATCACTGAACTTGAAAAAAACATCTGATTCCAACTAGGAGGAGAGCATCGCCAATTGTCGATCCTAGAATTCACTAGAGAAATGGATATTTACCAGCAGATTTTGTTGACTCACCAGACACCTTTTGAACCTTAACAAGGGAATCCAAGTTCCCTAGTTTCAAGGCATTTTATGAATCTGAGGTTAAGAAATCCGATAGTTGACTATGGGATGTCAAGCTATCTAAAGCAAGTGAAGTGAAACCAGAGTGGTGTCTCATGCATCACGTGATTGCTAGGTCCGTGGGTGGGAAGAACAGGAGCAAAGGCAACCTAACTCCCCGAGAAGTCACCTTCTTTTATAGTATGCATATACCCCAGTCTCTACATCTCAGTTTGGCTATCTTATCTATCTTCAAGCATTATGAGACAGATCATCGGCTAGCCGCACTTCAAGGGTGAGTTTTTGTCACTTGTCTAGCCAAGTTTTTCCAAGTCGACTTCGGGGCTTTTCCAATTTTGATTGGATAGTAGGACCACCCCTCTATCCTTCGAAGTCTTGAAGTCGAAACTCAAAGTTCTACATATGAACGACAAGGGCATTTGGGGAGTAAGGGTACTTCCGTTTCTAACCTCTAATACGTTGGACAGTGAAGGAACAATGTTCCGTCTTTCGGAAGCTCGGATGGCAAGAGAGCAAAGAGAATTTGCAATCGAGTGAGATCAAATGGAGAGTGAATTTGAAGGAGGAGAGTCACCCATTCCCACTCCTCAACCAGTTCACCAATGCAAGGGACTACCTAATTGAAGCAATGATAGAGAACGTAATTCAGAACCAAGAGAGGGAGAAGGAAAAAGGTTACATATTACGACATGCCTCCACGCGATCATGAAGAATATGAACATTCCCACCAAGGAAGCACCAACCCAATTTGATCGCTTCACTCCCCTTGCGCCACTGCAGGAAGAGGAAGGACCCTCCGAGGAGGATTGAGTACTAGGCATCCAGGTTCTAAGTTCTATCTTTTCTTTTATATCATTTTCTTTATTTTAATTAAAACAATGTTTAATTATCTCGTTATTTTTTGTTTACTTTTCATACTATAAATATTCTAGCACTAGTAGTATTAGTACATATATTATATATACCTATCTATCGTTCTTATAACTTTTATTCGTCTTCCTCTATCTCTTATGTGCTTTATCGTTGTGAAAATCACCAAGAAGACAAAAACCTACACTTGTGTACCTTCGCCAACCCACAATCCAACCTTTGGTAACCTTCACGATCTTCACTTATGAAACTCCCACATTGAGGACAATGTGTTTCTCAAGTGTTGGGGGGGGGGGGGGGGAATGTGTGTGAATGTTTGAATGAATATCGTGATTGGTTGAACCATAGATTTCTAGTATATGATAACGGATACAGCAGTGGGTTGTTAGCCCACGTCTCCATTCCCCACTTCTCTCTATTCTGTTCCTGAACTTCAGCTCACTACCGTTGCTTTCCCTCCTGTAAACCAGCACTCTGTTATTCCTTTGTACTATAAGTAGAATGATGAATAAGACCAACTCAAGCATTGCAGCATTCACATGGTATCAGAGCCCATTAAACTCAAACGAGTCTGATTTTTTTTTCTTCCTTCTTCTTCATTTGACATCTCGCTGCCATGTCTACTGATTCCTCTGCTTCCTCCACCACCATTGCCTCTTCCTCGTCTTCTCAATCCCCCACCATGTCTCTTCCCTCCAACCCTCAGCTCACTGTCAAACTTTCCCCCTCTAATTACCTCCTTTGGATTAGTCAACTTCTCCCATTGCTCCGCTGTTTTCGCCTCCTGGGGCATGTTGATGGCACATCCCCGGCGCCGCCCACCCACCTTGACGGCCAGCCCAATCCTGCCTACTCCGCCTGGTATGAACGAGACCAGATGGTCCTCATGTGGATCTCTCTCTCCCTCTCTGAAGCTGTCCTGCCCAACATCATCAACAAACACACCGCCTTTGATGCCTGGTCGGCGCTCAAGCGAATTTATGCTTCGGGTTCCGCCGTTCAAATCCGACAGCTTCGCGGCTCCATTCATAATCTCAATCGCGGCGACTCCAAGATCCACGACTATCTTCAAGCCGCCAAGAAGACAGCGGATCAGCTAGAGGCTCTCGGCGCTCCAGTTAACAATGACGAATTTATCGCGGCTATCATGGACGGCCTCGGCGAAGAATATCGCCCCTTCACCCGCCACATTGAAGCTCATCATGAACCAATCTCCTTTGAAGATCTTCATTCTCTGCTCATCAGTGAAGAACTCCAGCTTCGCCGCTATCAGTCCCCGTCGGCATCACCCTCGGCGTTCCTCTCTGCTCGGGGGCGTGGCGGTGGTCACTCTCGCGGTCGATACATGCGCGGCGGAGGTTTGACTCGCTGCTCCCAACTCTCCCAGTCTTCTGCAGGTGTCCTGGGCCCCAGCCCGTCTCAGCAACACCGTCCGGCCCACATTCCGGTTCGGCCCGGCCCTCTCGTGTGTCACAATTGTGGTGGCAAAGGCCACCTTCAGTCCTCCTGTCCCAGCCCACAATATCCTTCCCCAGGCCCACAATACCCTTCCCCAGGCCCAACAGCTCATCTAGCCCACTCACCCGCCCAGCCCTCTCCTCCTCAGCAATGGATTTTAGAATCCGGCACCAATTACCATCTCACCTCCGATTTAGATAATCTCGCCCATCATTCCGAGTACAATGGCATCGATCATGTTAGTTTTGGCAATGGTAAGTCTCACTCTGGTTCTTCTCGCACTTCTCTTTCTGATCAGTCTATCTCTCTCAATAATATTCTTTGCGTGAAGAATGCTCCTTATAATCTTCTTTCAATTAGCTCCCTTACTCGTGCTAATCCAATTTCTATTGAATTTGTTGATAATTTCTTTGTCATCAAGGATCGCCGCACCAACCATGAACTCCATCGCGGCTTTGCCATCAACGGTCTTTACTCTCTTCCCCTGGAGATCGCTCGGTGCATTGCTCCTCAGTCCTATCTCGCTTCCCTTGACGTTTGGCATCAACGGTTGGGTCACGCCAATTTGCGTGCTGTCAAACATTTTCTTCACTCCAATCAAATAAAGTTTGCGCCTAGTTCGCCCTCTCTTTGTCATGGTTGTTCGATTAGTAAGAGTCATAAATTACCATTTCCTCGTTCTTCATTTCATGCTACCGCACCATTGGAACTTGTTTGTAGTGACGTCTGGGGTCCCGCACCCATTCTTTCCTATGATTCCCAATCATATTACATTCTCTTCTATGACCACTATAGCAAATTCACGTGGATCTACTTTGTTCAATACAAATCCCAATTACTAAGTGTCTTCATTCAATTTCGTCAGCTTGTAGAGAAATTTTTCGGCCTTCCTATCAAAACTTTCCAATCCTATTGGGGAGGCGAATACCAAGCCCTCACTACCTACCTCTCTTCTCATGGCATTGCTCATCGCTCTTCGTGTCCGTATACACCAGAACAAAACAGATGTGCTGAACGTAAGCACCGTCACATTATTGATAATGGTCTTGCTCTGCTGCATCATGCTAATATCCCTAAAAAATATTGGCCTCTGGCCTTTGACACATCCTGCTATCTCATCAATCGCACCCCCACCCCTCTTCTTCACAATAACACCCCATTCTCCGTCCTCTTCAAACGCCCTCCTGACATGAATCGCTTACGGGTATTTGCTGTCTCTGCTACCCTTGGCTCCGCCCTTACGCTCCTCACAAACTAGCTCCTCGTTCTCTCCCTTGTGTCTTTCTTGGCTATAGCAAACTTCACAAAGGATACCGTTGGCTACATATTCCTACTGGTCGAATCTATGTGAGTCGTCATGTACTCTTTGCCGAAGATGTTTTTCCCTTTCGCCAAACACAACTCCCACCACAAGAGATCCCCTCCACTACTCACCCCACTCCCACCCCACTAATATGCCTTCCCCATCCGCACACCAACCCCCCCTGCCTAGTCCATTATCTGGGCCTCGGCCCACACACACAACCCTGCAGCCCGTCTCCCCACCCCCTGAATCACCCGGCCCAACACCCTCTGACCTTATCCCATAGCCCATCTCGTCCTCCCCCCCCCCATCAGCCCTCGGCCCACCGATCCCCTACCTTCCACCCGGGCCACTACGATCCCTAACCCTCCAAACCCGACCACGCCACCATCGCAACCCTCTGCCCCCTCCGCCTCTGCTCCAGTTCCTCCATCTACCACCACTAAATTACCCCCACCCATCCCTATTCCCTCCAGACCACGCTTCACCACTTCCTCCCGTCCTCTGCCACAAACTCTTCGCAGCCCCATCATCACCCGCGCCAAAACAGGAAACCTAAAAGCGAAGACCTTTGCTGCCGTCATTGCGGACGAACCCACAACTGTCGCACAAGCTCTCCGCGACCCTCTCTGGAATGCCGCCATGCGCCAAGAGCGGGATGCTCTTCTCCGCAACAATACCTGGGATCTCGTACCCAGGCCTCCGAATTGCAACCTCATCACCAACAAATGGATCTGGCGCAACAAACTAAATCCCGATTGCACGCTTGAACGGCGCAAGGCGGGTCTTGTTGCTCGAGGTTTTCAGCAGGTACAGGGCAGAGATTTTACACATACGTACAGTCCGGTACTGAAACCGGCTACTCTCCGGCTGGTACTCGCGGTCACCAATGGGTGGCCTCTTCACCAACTGGACATCTCTAACGCATTTCTCCACGGCGAACTGACCGACGAAGTCTACATGGCCCAACCAACTGGGTTCATCGATCCCGCCTACCCAGATCATGTCTACCGCCTCAAGAAATCCATCTACGGCCTCCGCCAGGCCCCCCGCACTTGGTTTCAATGTCTTGCTCGGGCTCTTCACAACTTCGGCCTCACTGCATCCAAAACAGACCCCTGCCTCTTCATCTATACCTCCGGCCATTCTCACCTTTACATGCTTGTGTACGTTGATGATATTGTGATTACAGGTTCTGATCAAGCTCTCCTCAACCGACTGCTGGATCATCTCCATCAACACTTCGCTCTTCGTGACCTCAGTCCCCTGACATACTTCCTCGGCATTCAAGTCATCCGCCACTCCGACGGGATCACCCTCAGCCAGCGGAAGTTCATCCTTGAGCTACTCCACCGTGCCCATATGGAGAATGCCAAACCAATCTCAACTCCTTCCACTACTGACATTGTCACCAACAGTGCTCTTGACTCGTCACCGAAATTTGCCGATCCCAGTCTCTATCGGGGCATTGTCGACGGACTTCAATACCTCAGCTTCACCCGCCCGGACATCTCCTTCGCCGTCAATCAAGTCTCTCAATATCAACATGATCCATCCGACACCAACTGGGCTGCGGTTAAGCGTATTCTACGCTACCTCAAAGGCACTCTCGATCAAGGTCTATGCATCAGCCACTCCGCCTCCCCCGACATACACTGCTACTCCGATGCATCTTGGGCGTCCTGCCCACAGGATCGCAAATCCATCACAGGGTTTGCAGTGTTCTACGGCTCCAACCTAATCTCCTGGTCCACTCGCAAACAGCAATCTGTTGCCCGATCATCCACGGAGTGTGAATACCGGGCGCTTGCCACCGTTGCGTCTGAGGTCATCTGGCTCCAATCTCTCCTCACTGAACTTGGGCAACCTCTCCGCCAGTCTCCAATTTTATGGTGCGACAACCTGGGTGCCACCTTCCTTGCCCACAATCCGGTCTTTCATCACCGTTCCAAGTACATGGAGATCGAATTTCACTTTGTCCGTGATCGGGTGCATAAGAGACAACTACGGGTCCACTATCTTCCAGCTCAAGACCAAATCGCCGATGTTCTCACCAAACCACTACCTCGTACCTCCTTCCTCCGGTTCAGTGACAAGTTCCGCCTTTCCTCGGCTTCACTTGTGGGGGCGTGATAACGGATACAGCAGTGGGTTGTTAGCCCACGTCTCCATTCCCCACTTCTCTCTATTCTGTTCCTGAACTTCAGCTCACTACCGTTGCTTTCCCTCCTGTAAACCAGCACTCTGTTATTCCTTTGTACTATAAGTATAATGATGAATAAGACCAACTCAAGCATTGCAACATTCACAGTATACTCCCTTGCTTATGAATGTAAGACATTTATGAATACTTATGGGAGTGTGTGCTAGCAATTGTGTGGTTAGTGGTCAAATGATAGTGTTTTGGAACCTTGAATTCTATACCCAATTTTTTTCAAATATGAGGGTTCCAAAACACCTTGTTCCTTGCAACTCCCTACTCGATATACTTTGATTTGTTAGATGATTGATGTGTTATGCTTGCCAGGTGATAGTTGCATGATTAGAGTACCAGGTTATGAGGGGTTTTGCTATTTTCATACTCTTTTGTGAGTTGATGATGTTGGCTATTTTAGGAAGACCATCTGTGCGGGATTCTCTATCTGTTTGATTTTTGAACTCAAGAATTTTAGAAGATTCGTGCGCATTAGAAAAGAAAGAAAAGAGAGAGAATATTTTGAGAATGAGGCTCACGTGAGAGGCAACCAATCCTCGCGGATTTGAAGTGCCCTTTGAGGATATGCATGGGGATTAGATAGCTTTACCGCGTCCCGACCATCTTTCACTACTTACCATCCCCCATGCATCTTTCCTTCTCAAGGAATCATATGTCAAGGTCCAAAGTACCTTTTAGCATCCATGAGACCTAATAGATCTCGTCTGTACCCAACATGTGTGGCAACCCGATGTGAAGTGCAGGTTGGGAAGTGGTAATAGGGCTAAGACGAATCAGCCCAACAACTTCCCCACGTGTGATCTTGAAAGGGAAGGCTATGATTCATCCACTCATGGTCATGAGGGAGAGTTGCTTGTTTGCAAAAAAAAAAAACAAAAATTGCAAAATCCTGGTTCAATGCGTGTCAACGTAAAAAAAAAAGGAGACCAATAAACAACAACTCCTAAATCTCAAAAGATAATAAAAAGCACCTTCAAGAGTTTTTGTTTTTTTTTTGTTTTGCTTATTTCTGTTAGAGAATCCCCCGGTGCACACCTTGAATGTTCGGACTAAGGTAGTAGGTATAGTCATCACCCGAGAGTTTGTGCTTGCATAGTAAGATGATAGTAACCTTCATTCATGTCTGTCTACTCTTCTTTATGCTATGAAGAACTAGAGTGCATTTCCCATTGATTTGTCTATCATGCTGCATTAGGTTTGAGTAGGATTGCTTGGGGACAAGCAAACTCCTAAGTGCGGGGGAGTTTGATAACACTTAAATTGGTTTTATTTACCCTTCATATTGAGGTTTGTTTCATGGCAATTCATGTGTATAAATGCTTAACATCATCAATTGCATCCCTATTCCGTTCCTATTTGAATTCGATGTGATTTTAGAGTGTGTTAGACGATATATGTGAATTAGGTACAAAACAAGGTCACAAGTGTAGCAAGGGATAGAAGACTGGAGATCGTGGTCTAGAAATAAAGATCACGACCGAGATCTTGGACCGTAAAGACAAGCTGAAGATCATGAACTCGAAGCCCAAGATCGCTGCCGCGAATTGGAGAGCTTAGGGCGCGAACTTCAACCAGAAGGAGCCGAGGAGAAATAGAGAGTTTACTCAGTTGAATCACGACCACATTGCATTCTGACTGCGAGGAAGATCACGGCCGTGACTTGCGGATTGCGACCGTGAAGTCAGTCCGCGATCTCCTCAATCCTGAAGGCCATCACGATTGCGTTTCAAGATTGCGACCTCTCCTCTAAAGATCCCGCCCGCGATCTCTGCCATTCTTGGCGTGAACTTGTCCGTCCTCTGATTGCCTATAAATAGGAGACCCCTTTTCCCCTTTTAGAAGAGCTGATTTTGAGATAAGATTTTCTGGTTTTATAGAGGGCAAAGAGAGAGAAGCTGAAGGAAGGAGAAGAAGAGAAGAAGGAGCTAGAAGAGAGGAGGCATCTTCCTCAACCTCAAGTCTTTTCCAATTTCATCTATGTATCTTCTTCACTCCTTTATGGACTAGTCCTCTAAGGTACTAAAGGTTCTAAACCCCAGCCCTAGTTTTAGGTTTTACTATGTATGAATGGATATTTTAGGGTTTGAATGAATGAATGTGTTTATCTAGTTGATTTTATTGTTATTCTATCTTAGATTGTATTTGGGTAAGTCGCCCTAATCTTCTCTATTAGCTTACTTTATGCTTCTACGCTGGGTATAGAGTTCTAGGGTTAGACGAGTATGGGCCATCAAGCAAATAAGGGTAGATATATGAATAGGGACCTATGGTCCGAACCCTTGCTATAGGTATCCTTCCTAGTTAGAACTCAGGACAAAACCTCACTATGGAAGGTGGGTAATATCCATTGAAAGGAGCTATGAGCTTAGTGCCCCAGATACGATAGCCTAGATCGAGGTGACTTTATATGGGTCTAGGAAGGCGTACTCGGAGGTGTGTGAGAACCACGAAATCCCACGGAAACCAGCCACTCACCACATTCGATAACCCCAAGTATTTAGATATACATAGTAGCCCTAGTCTAGGGTGAGGGATAGTTCCCCAAAGTACCTACTTTTAGCTTTATTCGATCTCTAAACTAGTAGTTCCCTCAAATCCTCCACTCAAACCTCCAAAACCGATTAACAAGCTAGCAACTAGGTGGGAAGTAGGCTAGGGTACCCCAGACCCGAGTAAAATAAGACCTTGATTACCACTATACGACAATGCCATCTTAGGTTAAAATTGGCTTATATTGAGTAGTTGTTGACACGTTATAACCATTGGCAATAATCTGCACGGACTTAAGTGATTAGGCGCATTTCAGAAAACAAAATAAAACATGGCGCCGTGTGACCTCCAACCTGGTAACCTTGCAGTGGGTCCACCTGGAGGATGTGTGTGAGCCATTTTTCTCATTGGGTCAAGGTAAAAATAGGCCAACTGACGGGTCAACCCTCGGGTTGACAACCTTGCATGGAATCGTATAAAAACGCTATGAAAACATGTTTTTAACTGTTTTCTTCTATTTGAACGCTTCTACTTACGCTTTTGAACGATTTTGGGTACAAACCGATTCTAGGTGGAAACTGAATCGTTTTAGTGATTTAGATACCTAAAAACGTACGTTTTTACGACTTAAAGCGTGATTTTGACTACACTTGATATAAGCAACATATTTTGATTTAAAAAGTCAATCAATCAAGGAGTATTGGCTCTTGCCTGCCCCTAAACCATAAAATTGTGATGAAAGTTCCCAAAATATAAGGGATAAATTCAAGTTTGGTCATTAGGTTTCCTAAAAAGTTTCAAGTTTTGGCACTAAAAATATTTTATTCTATTCGTGGTCACTTAGATTAGTTAAATATTTCAAGTTTGCTCACTCTCTGT